CTGCAACAGAAGAGAATGCAAGATGAGAAGACATGTTGACTGGCCCCGAAGGATGATGATGTCCATGACGTAACGTGACGGCGTCCGAATCTCAACCCGCCATTATTCCGATGACGTAACATGACGTCACCTAATCGTCACCGTTCAGACTCTAATGCCGTAAAAAGCAACGGCACGTAAGTCTTCATTCTGAATTAACAATAACCGTAAAAAATACAACTCACATGAATGATATTTTGCAATCATAGTGCATATATTTACAATGTGGACAGACAGAGTGGGGAGAGAGAGAGAGAGAGAGAGAGAGAGAGAGAGAGAGAGAGAGAGAGAGAGAGAGAGAGAGAGAGAGAGAGAGAGAGAGAGAGAGAGAGAGGGGGGGGGGTGAATGAGGGAGAGAGAGGGAGGGAGAGGGAGAGGGGGGGGGAGAGAGAGAGAGAGAATGACAGGGGGAGAGAGAGAGAGAGAGAGAGAGAGAGAGAGAGAGAGAGAGAGAGAGAGAGAGAGAGAGAGAGAGAGAGGGGGGGGGGGGGGGGGGGGGGGAGGGAGAGGAAGAGAGGGAGAGGAAGAGAGGGAGAGGAAGAGAGGGAGAGGGAGAGGGAGAGGGAGAGGGAGAGAGAGAGAGAGAGAGAGAGAGAGAGAGAGAGAGAGAGAGAGAGAGAGAGAGAGAGAGAGAGAGAGAGAGAGAGGGGGGGGGGGGGGGAGAGAAAGAGAAAACGAGAGAAAGAAAACGAGAAAGAGAAAACAGGAGAGAGAGAGAGAGAGAGAGAGAGAGAGAGAGAGAGAGAGAGAGAGAGAGAGAGAGAGAGAGAGAGAGAGAGAGAGAGAGAGAGAGAGAGAGAGGAGAGAGAGAGAGAAAGGGAGAGAGAGAGAACGAAACAGAAAGACACCGATCCAATTAGAGAACGAGACAGAGGCAGAGACAGAGGTAGAGACAGAGACAGCGAGAGCGAGCGAAACAAGGAAGAAGTAAGGTGACGGCAAACAGCTGTTGGAGTTAACAGCTCTGACGTCACGAGCGAGAGACACGCGCTCCCGCTACCAACTCCCGCTAACACCCCCTCCCCCTTCCATCTCCCTCCCTTCCCCTCCCCCCTTTTCCACGCACTACCATTAACCCCTTCCTAAAAAAAAAAATCCCCCCAAAAGCAAAGAACCAAACGTAAGTGATCCCCATCGACGAAAAACAGAAAAAAGAACACAAAGAAAGAAAGAAAAAGTGGAAAAAAACAAAAAAATATATATATATACGAGGAAGTCCCTCATACACGTGCGTCCCTGCCAACCGCTCGACACAATGGCGGAACAGGAAACTCCGGAACAACACTTCCCTCTCTCCATACGTAAAATAGTAAACACATTTAACAAGTGGAGCGCCACGCCCTCATCAATAACAACCGGTGCTTTGTATCGCTTCTGCTGTGCCACATTTGGGCGAAAAGGCAGCCCCTCTGGGCGTGTATGTGATACGAGGCAAAAATAATCCCTAATATTTATTTATCTATCTCTTCATCCATTTATTCTGTCTATCTATCTATCTGCCTGCCTGCCTGCCTGCCTGCCTGCCTGCTTGTCTGTCTGTATGTCTGTCTGCCTGCCTGTCTGCCTGCCTGCCTGTCTGTCTGTCTGTCTGTCTGCCTGCCTGCCTGCCTGCCTCCCTGCCTGCCTGCCTGCCTGCCTATCTACCTATCTACCTACCTACCATCTATCTACCTAACTTCCTATCTATCTGACCATGTACCTATCTACCTATCTATCTGTTTACCAATTTACATATCTATCTTTTGCCTGTGTATTTCCATGTCACGTAGCGTAAACATTCCCGCATAGACATTTATCAATCTTCCATACATTTAAATTATATTAAGCAAAATAATTCTACATATCTATTCCTTTATCTATCGCCCATCGGTATCTATCTATCTGCTGTCTATCCATCCATCGAGTCCAAGCTATATATCTATATCTACTCATTAATCTATCTCCGTCGGCCTAGACACCAATCTACATCTTAAACAAAGGGAGTTTCGTCCAAATTAATATGAAAAATCGACGAAGTGGTGTGGAATAACGAGACAAGGTAGTTAGCACCGCAATCGGGCGTTAGCAGAGAGAAGCGTTCAGTTCCTCATTGAACGCTAGTAAAGTAACGATAGGATTTTTTTCCCTGACTGTACAACACAACCGTTTCTACGCGCGTATGCCCGTGAGTGGAGTTGGGGGGGGGGGGGGGGGGGGGGGAGGTGGAGGCGGCGGAGGGTGGCGCAGGTGGAGCAACGGGCGCCAGATGGTGCTCCACTGACCTCGTCGAGCCCTCCGTCCTCCTCCTCCTCCTCCTGACGCTGGACACTTCTAACCTCTTAATCAGTGTCTGCTTCCACCACGTGACTTTGATGGATTCCCTACAGGCCTATTGTAACTATTGTAACTTACAATACCGGTCTTCTTGTTACTAATGGTTTACTTAGGCACTTAGTCTGTTACTTATATATCCACTTATTTT